GCTATGGTTAAAGAAAAATAAAGACTACATTCAAAATTAATTTGGAGTTGGAGAAAATAACGGAAATATTATAGTTAAGAAAATATGTTCATGCTCAAAGAATATAAAATTTTTTAATGTATGAATTGAGTTCTATGACATATCTAAGTGATGAGCTAATGTGAAAAGTTTAGGTTACTAGTCAAAGACTTTACACAGTATAAATAGGTCTTTCAGATCACTCGAGTCATAAATATAATTTTTTAATTTCTTAAATTCAAATAATAGATATTCTGTTGGGTTCTAAATTAAATGACATAAAACTAATTTAAAAATAAAAAGAACTTCAAAATTTAGTTTGCATTATAAGAAATCTGTTACATTTAGCATTATTTGAATTCATAATCATTAGGAATCTTTAACGGATCTGTAACATTAGTAAAAATGGCAATTACTTCATACAGAAAAATCAGATAAAATTGATTTCACCTGAATTTTTTTTGTTTTCTTCTTTTCTTTTTTTGTCGCTATATTTTTCTTCATCACTTGTTTCACTGAATAACATTTCAGGTATCTAAAATATGAAGAGTATTTCTATATAACTTAAGTATGAGAAAGTTAAGTAAATCTAGTATCCTAGGTTAAAAACCTTTAACACAAAATAGACAGTATCAATTGCACTTTTCTTCTAGGATTCATTCCAGGCTAAAAGAAAAAAAATAATGTATCAATCTTTAGAAGGCATTATTTCCTAGACAACATTTTGACAACTACCAACCATTAGTTGGTTGCAAATTAATGGCACATAGGGAAAAGCTTCAATGATTAGACTATACAAAATGAAGAAAATTTCAATATGAATTGAATTTGAAAATAATCACAATGCCATAGGAAATAATCACAATGCCTCTTAAAATCATACCATAATAAAAATAAAATGTTTTATTTGGCATCAAACTGATAAAATGCCCTCTTGGCACAGCAGGGTAGCAAAGATTCTTAGCTTTCTCAAATAAGAAGTAACTAAAAGTAAGTAATAATTTCATAATTTTATAATTGACAATAATTTCATAATAGGTAATTTTAAAAATTATCTAGTTTTTAGCTGTGGCTGGTTTTTTGTCTGTTATTTTCTCTGTCACATCCCCAACTTATAGAACAGTGGCACACATTTAACATTCAATAATTATTTCTTACTGAATGCCTCTTATCCACGTGGCCTCCTCAGACTAAAATAATTTTCCTCTCCTTTATCTACTTACTGAAATCTAACTAAAATACAATCTCATTTGTAAAACCTTGTCTATTTATCGAAAACTATACTCCTTACTCTGAATCACAACAAGCATTTATTTGTACCCCTATTATAGAAAAATAAAGAAATGAGTGATTGAGATTATCATTCAAAAAAATGTTGAAAATTATTTATTCAAATGAAGCAAAATAAGAGACTTCCAGATAATATGTGGCTATGTGTTCCCACTCTAAACTTATCCTCCAAACACATAAATAGCAGTAATAAATTTTTTTAAACAGATTTTTTAAATTTTTAACTGTTAAAATTCTGCTAAGATTTTTTTATTCTNTTTTTTTTTTTTTTTTTTTTTTTTTTTTTTTTTTTTTTTTTTTTTTTTTTTTTGGTGGCTGACCTTACTACCTTACTGATTCTTTCTATGTTCCTTATTTCCTCTTTCTTGGCTCAGGGCGTCATCATTTCTCTCAGAGTACAGACTTCTAAGTGGTCTAATTGCCTTTGATTTCTCTTTATACCAATCTATTTTCCAGTAACTGAGGAAAGAGATGGACCCAGAGATTTCTGCTTCTGAAACAAGACTCTAGTTACATTCCTATTACAGTCTCTCAAAAACCCCAGATCACCC